GGCTCCCGCCGCGGCCACCCCGCCTGCTCCCGCTCCTGCCTCAGTTTCCCACGGCAGTGAGGAAGGAGGTGGCCACAGAGCAGCACCGGGCGCCCCTGCAGCCCCGGGGGACAAGGCAGCCGGGCACGAGTCCGGTTCCCCTGGGCTCTTTGCCTTGCAGCTGCTGGGGCCTGTGAGGAGCCCCCGTGGGAGCCGCGGGCCGGGGGTGCTGCTCCTGCTGGGAGCTGGGGAGCCTGCAGGGAGGCAGAAATGGGTGTCACAAAAGTACCTGCTCCAGGGTAGGGTAAAGTGATAGTGGGGAGAAATAAAACAGCCCCCAGCCTTGCTCTCCCCCAGGTTGCTCCCCCGGGGCTCCCTCACGGCGTGAGCCTGTTTGCACCCAGGACATGGAGGCTCCGGAGAGGTCGGGAGCCGAGGGCCGGCCTGGAGAGGAGCGGGCGCCCGACCGCGCCTGGAGGACGCGCCCCAGCAGCTGCCTCCCAAATTAGCCTCCATCAAGTTAATTGCCAAATTGCTCCAACCCTGAAATTATACATTAAAGCTGTCACCCGCAGGCTCCCAGAGATTCCCCCGTCCCCAGCAAAAGGCAATTCTGCCTGTCCAAGCAGAGAGAAGATGGATTCCCCAGTGCGGGATGGCACCAGAGCTGCTCCCAGCCCCATCCACTGTTCCTGGGTCCTGCTCGCAGGCAGTTTCCTTGGTCTTGCTACAGCCTGGCCCTTCCCTTCGTCCCTGTGGCCTTAGGATTCTGGAAGGGCTGAGAGAGTCTCCGTGGGGCTGCAGGGCCTGCCGAGGCCCTGGGACAGGGCTGGAGGAAAAAGAAAACCTAGAGGGAAAAATATCCCCCAGGCTCCTAAACCTGTTGAAGAGCAGCCTGCCAGGAGAGGAGCTCAGCATGGGCGTCCTGGGCACAGTGCGCCTGAGGTGGCCTCAGGGCCACTGAGACGCTGCTGTCATTGCTCAGGGGCTGTGAAGGGACCATCTGTGCTGGCCAGCACCAAGGTGCCCTGAGCCGGAGACCTGTCCTGTCCCGGGATGGGGGGAGGCATCAGAGGGCACCGTCCTGGGAAGCAGGAAGGTGCCTGTGCCCAGGGCCAAGCGGGAGGAGAGGAGGGACGGATGGGATTGCGCAGCTGGTGGCAGTTCAGGAAACTGGGTGAGGAGCTTCCTGCTGGACTCAGGGCAAGGTTTGCTCAGCCCCTGGCTCCAAAGAGTGGGAGCCTTGGAGTAGGACCCAAGGGGCCTCACAGCACCAAGGCCCATCCTGGAGATGGGATGGGGATAAGTGCTCCCGGAGCACGTAGCCCTCTTTCCTGCTTGGAAAATGTTGCCTGAAGACATTGCTATGGAGGGTGCCTCCAAGTGGGATCTGAGCGTCTTCTCCTTGCTCCCGCAGTGAGGAGCTGGCGCGGAGGGGAGATGTGTCCTGCCTGGGGCTGATCCCCCCGCCACGGGAATATGCAGCCTCGGTGCCGCAGGGGCCGAAGCAGGGCAGCGGGGGGAGGGGG